TAGTAACAACAGTTTTCCAGGCAACAGTTCTTGTGTCTTTGAACTTTATTTTTTCCAACCTCCAGTCTGCAGAAACATTTACATTAGAACATTAACTATAAGGACAACTTCATCCACTGTGAAATGAGTTCTCATGATCTACAACTCAAGTTCTGAAGATCTACAATTCAGATGGGCCACAGTAGCAGGAAGATCAAACTGCGTACTTCAAAAATAAACACTCACTCTATTGTAAACGGAACCTAAAGCCTTTTAAAATGTGTTCTGATAAACTGTGCCATTTGATGATGCCACTTATCATTAGTTATTCTAAATTCTCAAAATCATGTTTGATCTTCTAGACCAAAACAGTACCTCTCTTGGAGCCTTCTCCAAGGTCACTGCTTAGTCACAAGCACACTGAATTTATCATTCTTGAGGGTGGGACTAACATTCCTCAGTGCAGGACAGGACTGACTGTTAGAAAAACAGTAGCTGAAAAAGTAATTCTGTAGTCTGAGCAGCAATTTGGCAACTGTCCTGTGAAACTGCTATTTAAGTGTAGCAGAACCTCTCTTTGAGCAGGAAGTATGTGCTCAACTGCAATGTTTTTTGGAGAAGTCTTCCCTGAAATTCTGAATAGCTTTGCTAAGAAATGGGAATATATATAGCAGCGTCCATTGAGCATTTTTATCTTGAAAAAGGAGGTAACTTGAAAAAATGTGCTCTTGAGACCTTTGTCTTCTTAGCACGTTTGTCTGTAACATTGAAAGGCTTTAGCTGTATTTGTTGATGACAAATTACATAAAAGCTATAATTAACCACTTTCATTTTTCCAGGTTGACAAAGATGAGTATGGATAGAAACAAAATTGAGACTCAATATCTGTCAGCTCTTCATGCTATGGTCTTGAACCCAAAGTTACAAAGCTTGGAAAATTCAGCTGTGCTACTTAAAATGTTGGTATCTGTTTGCATGTTTAGCTGTTGTTGGCAGAATGTGCTGCCAAATAAGCATGATAAAGAGTAATTGCTGTGATTAATCATTTATGATTATCATTGACTCATTAAGATATTTACCTTTCTTTTGGTAGATGAAGTATTTTTGAAGAAGAGAGTACAAAACACCAATGTCAGAGCTATGATGTGGAGAATTAAATTCTGAAAGTGCTTAGGTGGCATTTCAATGTGCTGCGGATGTCACCAAAAAAGATTTTTAAGCAGAAAAACAGATTTTTAGGGGTCTTGCTGTTCTGTAGAAAGATTTGCAACTTGGATTTTCAGAACAGGGAATCTGAAAGGGCTTCACTGCAGGGTAATAAAAGTACTAATAGAGTTAACTTTCGTGTTTTGGAGCTGAATAATAAAGCCAGCTGTTGATGAAGGTATTTTCTGTTTAGTACAAACAGTTTAGAGTTATTGACACTTAGCTTTGTTATATGCTATTGAAAATACCATTTCAGAAAAATATGTACTTTCATTGCCAAATCTAATTGCAGTAATCTGGATTTCTGCTAGTCTGAGTGGTAAGCGCCGAAAGTGCTCAGAGTAGCAAGCTCTCCAATATTTTATTCTTTTATTATGTTTCCTTACAGGAATGTATGCTTGCTGTTGCTTGAGCACTTCAGTTACCTTGGGCTACAATGCTGCAGTTGGCTAATAGCAAGCAAGTCTTTGGTATGTTGAACTGTTCAGTAAATTGTCTTCTTCTGAGGCTTTTCTTTTTTTCCCTATTTAAGTGTTTTCTGTCACAATATGCTATGAACCTTCAAAGAAAAAAAAAAAAAGAAAACAATTTCTAAATACAAGTTTCTGAAGTCTCTCTTTAAAGTCCCTCTAAAATCCTACCAGTATTGAAATGGCTTGATTATCATCAATGTTATTTGTTGGTTGTAGCAAAATTCAAATAAGCTATAGATGTCCAGCCTCTGATAGGCAACTCAGTGTTATTTAAGTGACACCAAATTTTTGAGATAACTGGGTAGGTGGAAGTGTAAATTCAGTATTGAGTAGCACTTCTTGGTGCAATTCTAGCTTCACTATCTTGTTGTAAGTCAGGATTTAATAAATTATATTTTCATTTTTCTTGCTTTTAATAGCAGTCATTCAGGGTGTGTACATGAATATGAGGAGCAGGGAATTTTTTTTTATCATAGAGGCAGGGAGAAAAGAAAGAAAGAGTTGTTTAGCAACAAAAATAGTAGAGAGAAAGAGTTAAAATCTGCCATCACCACAGAGAAAACATTTGCTGGTTGCTTTAGCCCTCAGTCTATACATCCTGGCAAGCAGTGAACAAGGAACTAGAGAGAAAAAAAAAATGTCAGTTTCTGCTTAATATGTTTTGTTTCAGTCAGGCTGGAGGTTAGACTGACATGGAGTGATATTGCTACAGTAGTAAGTGATATAAAAGAAGCCTCTATTACTGCCTGGTAGGGTAAAGACATATTTTTAGGTGGAACCATGCTGTCCTAAGTAAAAGGCAAATATTTAGCTATTAGAAGAAAAAAAAGATACAGTTCCTGTATTCTATATTTCTATATTATTGCTGATATTTTTTAATATTCTTGCTTTCTGTTAGAAATATTATTGCTAGGACTCTATCTTAGTTTTCTTCTGAAGCTAAGTTAGAAGACATTTGTGGCTTTCTATTAATACTTTTCCATATTTTAGGTATCCAAACAGAGAAAGAGCTAGGTAATGATTTGGTAGTTGTTTAATTTTTGTAGTAGTCAGATCTCTCTCTATATATAGCATGGTATAATCTAGTGTCCTCCAAATGTGTTGCTTTAGGCAACACATTTAATAGTATCCCTTTACCGTTTATACGGAAAGAGATTTAATATTCTGATAACAGTCCTTGATTTTTGGCTCTACCTTGAAAAATATATGCAGTCCACAACACAGGCATCTGATAAAAAATCAGTGCATTCAGATGTCACAAAGAAGTTTTCTGGAAGCCGAAATTGTACACTTCTATATGTTTCTCAGTCTGTACATGTCTATATCTTTCTATTGCTCCTGTTTCTTATACTCATTCACTAACCATTGGGATTGGGTCACCATTAGAGATGAGATACCAGGCCAGAGGGTTTTATAACAAATGTGGTTCTTAAACTTTTCTTTTTTTTAGAAAACTGCCAAGGTCAAATTGATTTTCATCATGATTAAAATGATGTGCAAAACCTCATGGGTGCTGTGCTGCGTGACTGAATGACTTCTTACATATGTTGAGACTGTCTTAAAAAAAGACATAGTCAAAAGCTGTCAGGAGAAGATATGGCAAACTGGAGGCCTAACTGGATGGAGCACTATAGAAAAACAAGCTGACATGGACTCCTGGGATCCCGTGAGTTTTCAGAAGTAACTGGGGCCTTATTAAGACATGAGCCTCTGCTAACGTTCAGCAGCGTAGAGGTCAGGATAAGGGAAGGCTTATAACTCATTAAGATGGTTAATGATTTTAAGCATATGCTTTACAAGGTATGTAATACCTGTTAGAAACTGCTCTTCTGCTAGGTGTACTTGACTGAAAATTGACCAAGCCAAGGTATTGATCAACATTTCCTGTCTTTAAGTCTCCAAAGAACCAAGAATCTCAGATGACAGTCACCAGGTTTGTGCTGGTTAACATCACTATAAGCATCAAGTGGCCAGAGTAGAATCTCAACAGCCTTCCAAACTGGCTCCTAAATAATATTCAAACCTGAAACTACAAAGTCTGGTGTTATCTCTGCCAATGATGGAGATTTGGATATAATAGTCATTCAGAAAGAGTATTTTAGGGCAGAGAGTTATGATGTTTTGAAGCTGGCAAGAGCAAACCTAGATGCCCAAACCTGAAGGAGAATTCAGAGGTCCTTCATGATTTGCTGCTGAGGAGTATGTTTGGAAAGAGGATCTGCTCTTAGAAAAAAAGGCCTGTGAACTGGTTCAAAAGTCTGTCCTAATACGACACTGTAAATATCTGCCTGAGGCTATACTTTGTTTATTGCTTGGCAATAGGAAATAGAATACATATTTTCTTTCCTAGATCCCCCTTTGTTTTATTGTTCAAACAAATTAATATTTTTGGGTTTTTTTTGTGTCTGGTAACAGAAGAAAATTACTGTGCTTTTGCTAAAAGATTCTTGGTTGCAAAATGAATTGTCTCAATGGGAAGGACAACATAGGAATTAGATTTAAAAAAATAATAATAATTCATACAGAGAGGAATTGCTACAGAGAAACAGTCCAGCAGAAAACACATGGCCAGGGGCCACAGAAACTCATTTTTACTTTTGGTTCTGTGGCTGACCTGCTGTATGACTTGAAGTCAAGTAACTTCTGTATTTCCGTCTCCCTTTAGGCCTCTCATCTCCTTCTATAGGGAAGATTTCACAATCTGTTTAAACTTCCTCCTGAAAACTTTCTCCAAAACAGCAGTTCAAATAGGTTCTTCTCTCAGCAAGGGCCTGAACGTTTCAGTAGAATTAACAGAGCCACAGACTTGGCAGAATGTTATACTATTTATCCTCCATTTTTTACAGGTCACATTCTCAATTTAGCTTCTCTCTCTGGCTGAAAGTACAAAGTGTTGCCTCACTTTTTAAATTTGGTATTTTCAAAATAGGTAGAGCATGAATAACTGAGATAAACAGTGTGCAATATCACACCCTACTTTTGCCCCTCCTCCTCCCTGCCAATTCAGCAAGCAATGTGTAAAAGCCCGGAGAGGCAGCTGGATCGCTCAGGAACCCGTAGCACCACCTTCTAGAGGGCTCTGCTTCACATCTTCCCATAGAAGCATCTAGCCAACAACCACGAGCCACTCAAGTTAGTCAAGAGATAAGTGTACTTTGATTCTTAGTTTTTAATATTTCTAGAAATTAATATAATAAGTAACTCTTAATGGAAAGAAATGGAATTATCTCTTGTTAAAACATAGTAGCATCTCTCATGAAGTAGATAATTTTCACTGTGTGAGACAGCTTAAGATTGTGCAGCACAATTTTCAAAAATATTTAAGGATTCTGCATGCTTCAGTCTGGATGTCTAACCTGAATTATCCTCTTGTCAAGTGCTGAAGACCTGCAGCTTGCTTTGGGACAGTTTTACGGAGTTCTTTGCTGCTAGCAAGTAAAGGTAGGTAGCTAGTGTAGATACCTTAAGACCCTTCTAGTTTCCATGCCCAGGAGAAAAGAAACTGCTGTCAGATGAGAAAAACTGAGGAGTCTTTGCTGATAGTATCTGATACATTGCATTCCCTAAGAAGTTTTGGGACCTAACGCTTGAGGAATGTTACTAGTTCGAGCAGCATTTGTCTTTACACTTAAGAGGAAAATTTTATAACCACTAATTAATCTCATAATAGCCCTGAAGTACTAGATAGGGGGGACTAGAAAATATATTACTTACTGTTTCTGTGGGTATGCTTATTAACAAGGTTTCTTTATGCTTGGTCTTCGCTGATTTTTCTGGTATTCATTCAGAATCAAAGGGGCTGCTACTGGCAGCAGCCAGTCACTGCTCAGTTAGTATTTCTCAGTTTCTGTAGTTAATTTGCTCCATGTTTTCTCCACATTATATCATTTTTCAGGAAATAATTGTGGAATTATATGTTTGGAGGAGATGAGCTCAAGTTCAAATTAAAATACTGACTGTGCTACATTTGCCTACTCTGAAGAAGGTAAATCAAGCCAGAGGTCTTGTTGCAATGATGCAATGTGCTACCACTGAATCAACAGGTACATGATAAATGATTTGTGTGCAGACACTTACTCTGATAATTTGCCATGATTTCTTGTTTCAAGGTTGAATTAAATACCAATTGTAGACAGCTCCTAAGACATTCACATTTCAGAAGATAGCTGGTCATCAGGCTATTGGCTAGATTCATCTCTCTAGATTTAACTAGGAATTCCATCTCTCATCTGTCACATCTTTCCCAAATAACATTTCATTACCGATAGTACATTTCCGGGGAGAAAAAATGCTGTATGACATTTTTTTTTATCAAAAATCTTTAGTAAACCAAAAACTCCCAAATTAATCTCAAAAGCACATGAGGTTTCTTATATTTTTTTACGGTTCAGCATCATCAGTTTTTCCAAGTATAATCTAGGAGCTTTCAGGTACCTAATAGCTGAATCCTGTAAGTCTTTTGTAGTTTAAATACATTGTCCTTAAGATGACACCTCCCCCAAAATGAACATATCTCAAAGGTAATTAGGCAAATTATAATCTAATAAATAACATAATGTTATTAACTCAAGCCATAGGAAGTTGTTCTGAGAATATCCTGTTTCTGCCCTGTGATCTCTTGGCTTTTGGAGGTAAGACTTAAAGTAAACCTGATATGACATGATATCATCTTGTCAGAGAAAAATAGAGATATAAATTAATTATTTTTAATCTAATTTGTGTTTAATCTCCTATCATAACTCAATAAACAAAAATATCTTTCCTTAAGCTCAACTATTAAACTTTTTTTTTTTTTATCATTATTGTAGTATGACATTTTCTAATGCTGAAAAAAGACAGGTAAAACAATATGCATTCAAACCTCAAACCAATCTAAGTTTTGTAAAACCATTAAAATGTGCAAAGAGAGTTTAGATCTTCTCATGTGTCAAAATATTTTCTATCTTTCTCACAGATTTCTGCCTTTGTTTTCCCTCTAGGCTTTGTAAAAAGCTAAGAAAGAAAGTTCATAAGCTTTCTTCTCAGAAGGGGAATCAAACAGCCATCAAACTCCGCTGGAGGTTCCTGTTAACCCCAAGCTAGCGCAGGTGCTTGGTGCAGCCCAGGTGCCACAGCAGTGCTGGGAAGCAGGGCAGAAAGCTCCCCCCGCGGCCTGTGCCCCGGCTGGCCTTGCCTGGGGTCAGCTCCGATTTCTGCTCATAAAGCAGCTCTTCTCTGCAAGGGCACAACCAGAGCCCTCTGCCAGAGAAACAGCCTGTGGGAGCCAAGGTTGTACCAGAGACCACAGTCCTTCGGGCATGCATTAATCACACACCATTTTCTGCTAAGGTTTAGAGGTGTCGGTTTGTCTGCTGCCCATGAAGACGTTTTGTCTTTTAGTAGCCTTCTCATTAATGTGACTCTGTTGTAGGTTGGACTTTGTCTTCTTGTTCGGCAGTGAAATATTTCTTTCCCCGTGGAAGCCAGACCATTACTGCTTATTATAAATGGGAATTTGTTGACATTCACGGAATCACAGAATATTCAAGGTTGGAAGGGACCTCTACAGATCATCTAGTCCAACCTTCCTGCTCAAGCAGGCACACCTAGAGCATGTGGCACAGGGTGGCATCCAGGCGGGTTTTGAAGACCTCCAGAGAAGGAGACTCCACAAACTCCCTGGGCAGCCTGTTCCACTGCTCTGTCACCCTCACAGGAAAGAAGTTGCTCCTCACCTGGAGATGGAACTTGCTGTATTTCAGCTTATGCCCATTTCCCCCGGTCCTATCGCTGGCCACCAATGAGAAGAGCTTGTCCCCTTCTTCCCTGTGTTCTCCTTCCATTCTCCCTGCCTACAGCCATACCACCCTGAAAACGCCCGACATTAATCTTTAATGAACAGAAAATATGGGCATCCATAGCACGATGACATGCAATTAATTATCTTTTAGAATATAGAGTTAAAAAAAAAAAAAAAGTGTGATTGGGTAAGCTGTTTAAATGTTGGTCCTTTTTTTCCTTCACAGTAAAACTGCCTATGTATATTTGGGGCAGCAGCTACTAGAATGTAATTTACTTTGTTCCATTTTAAGAACAAATTATCTTAATGAGAATGGTCTGCTTTGTGTACACTATTAGTGCCGTAGGACAAGAACTAATGAGCTCAAATAGCAGTAGGGATAAATTCAGTTTAAATTTTAGGGAAGGTCGAAGGCTCCTTAAAAGTAAGACTAATTAAACACTGGAGGAGATTGCTGCAGTAGGCGAACAGGGAAGGTTTTTAAGAACATATTAGATGAACATCTATCAGGACACTAAGGATATTATGCCTTGGGATTAGAGAACTTTAGCTGACCTTCCGTTACCCTTTCAAGACTATTTTTCTATGATTCTGTAATCATACATCACACTGTTCCTCCCCCTGCCTTTAAAAAATATGTACTTATGCTGCTATTCTTCAAAATAAAAAGTAGCTATTTGCCAGGAAAAGTGAAAAAGCTGTTTATGTGATACACTATACTGCACTGTTTAAACTTGGTATGTCCTGAGATCAGCAGTCCTCACAATCTGAGATACTTGTGTGTTGCCTTAGGAATGCAAATCCTAAAAAAGGCACAAGCCTTTTTTTTGTTCTTTATCGGAAAGCAAATGATATTTAGTTAATATATGCTTGTAATTCTCATTACATGAGCATCCAAGCAACCATCATTATAACACATTTGTCAAGTTGAAATGCAGTTTAAACTGAGTTTAAAATATGAAATCTTTATTTGTAAGGCTTTTTTCTCCACATACAGTATGAGCAACCAAATTCTAAAACTATTCTCAAAATATAAGCACATAAAACCAATTTATATAAAAGCTGAATTTCATTTAAATTTTTAAATAGCCACAGATAGAGTCTGATAATTTGAAACTATTTCAAAAAAAAAAAAAAAAAGTGTCTGTGAAATGAAGAGACACATGATTACCTTGACTGTTTTGGATGGTTGAAAATGCTTTATAAACTGTGTCGTTAGTGTCTGGACCATTAAGTCTTAAGGCATGTCCATGCTTGAAACAGCCTGCTGTGTATCAGTGTGATCTGAGGCAGTTGTTGAATGAGTGGATACACCCCATATTGTTAAATGGTGACTATATTACCTGTGCCTTGTATTTTATCACCACAAAGCACTGATAGTTCAAAATACCTACCCTGTGTTCCAGGCAGACACCCTGCCGAGCATTGCTGTGCTTCATGCTGGTGGTATCATTCAGTTTTGTTAGATTCTCTCCAGACATCAAAAGTACTTGGAAAGTTTAATCTGCAGTGTAGTCTTGACTGTCTTTTTTTTTTTTTTTTTTAAAGCGTATACTCTGCTTTGCTATTTCAAGGCGCTGCAGGTTTTCAGTGCCCAGCCAGGTAGCACTGCTGAGTGCTGAGGTTCTCAGAACCATGCGTACCAGCAGACTGCTGCACGCACAGATGAAGTCATGTGAATTCCTTAGAAATAGGACCGTAAGACTCTTTGATGCTGTTCACAGCCCTATATTTTATTTCTAATAGATAGGCATTTCCTGAGACTGCCAGCCTAAGTGTAGTGTTCCTGACAGCATGCTATTTTCTCATTATTGTTGCTGAAGAAGTCATTGTCAGTGAAGAAGGCTGGAGGCTAGTGTGCAAAGTTCAAAGCTGTAGCCTTCAGGAGAGTTTTCCATTTCCACTCACAGCGACTCGGTTTTAGGGTTTCTGGACCATCAATTAGGTTTTCCATGTAGGATTCACACCCTGCTGATGTGAGTGGATGGATTAGGACAGGACAGTAGGCCTTTTAGTTATAATGGGGACTGATAAATGCCGGATGTGCTGCGGCTATTGTGGGAAGCTAGCTACGATGTTGCAAGAGAAGAGTAGTAATTGCTTTTTTATAATTGTAGTTGGTCATTCTGGAGAATGTATTTTTTTTCTCTCTCTCTCTAGAATATAAGCAGGCTATGCATTGTTGCAGTGGGGTGTCCTAGTTCATCAAACCCCCATGACAATTCAAATTACTGTGAAATGCTGAGCCCTACCGATCCTCTACCTACCTTGCAGCTGTAACAGTGCTGGAGGAGTTTTACTGAATTCTAATGATGATGATGATCTACACTTGGATAGAAATCACCAGTATGAAGACGTAACATATTCTTCCGCTTAGTGTTCAGGTATGTACATTTTTATTTTTTACCATATTTTCTCTTCCAGAGAAGATAGCAACTTTAGATTTCTCCATGCCAATCTATGTGAAAATAAATGAACAGGGATAAATACTTATCTTTTGTAAAACAGTTTAAGTGTATGAGGTCAACAGATCTGTGCCAGGCCTACTAAAGTCGATAGGGCCGTGCCAGTCTACCCATTTGTTTCAGCAGTGCAGCCCAGTGACACGGTCACGAGCATTTATATAGAGAACCTTGGAATCCGGGCACTGCCTTTCTAAGGAATTTCCAAAAACTGATGCATGCATTTAAAATCCATTGCAAAAAGAGAATAAAAATAGACAGAACTGGTTAACTCTCACCCTTTGGGATTGACAATTTAGGTTATTTAAGTCTCAAGCAAGTTCTTTTTAATTCTTTTCTCTTCGAGTCTTATGACAATATCTTGCTTCACTGTGTGATTCAGTTTTGAAGGAGCTGGTGAAAGGTGCCAAGATGAAAAAAAGATTTTATAGGAGCATGAGATGTGTAGATAAATTCCTTGAGGAAAGCTGATCCACAAAACAACTTGTTTCTTAGTGGGAGTGCTTGCCAATACTTGAAAGCTGTTCCAGATTAACTTTATTCTGTACTAGTGGGTTATATCCACAGACATCTTCTGTGTATTACAGGCGCTTTACTAACAACTGCTCCATGCCTTTGGAGCCAGAGGTGTTGGCGTGGTGCGTTCCTAAGCCAAACCAACTGCTGCTCTTTGCCAGCAGTACTCCTCTGGTAAGCCATACTGATTTTAGGTATTTGCTGGTCTTCATGTCTATGCCATCTACT